CCTCACTCCTATTGGTCAACCGTTGCGCTCTACCCTATAGAAGTACTGCTACATGGCGGCACAGCTGTGTAAAATCACAAATATACACGTGATTTGCTTTTCCGGGTAGGGGGCATGCGTCCTGCCTGTGCTGCTATTGGCTGTTGGCGAAATCAATCACTGTGTCCTGGCCAGTAATTCATAACTCAATAATGTGAGTTATGATCTATACCTGTCCTGTCATCTGTGTTTTGTCACCCGTATCCTGACCTATGGTCTGTCCCATGTATTCTATCCTGTATTCTGTGTCCTGTGTTGATATACACATTTTCCCCATTCAGTACAATGGCAAGCACTCTGATTGGCCACTTTTAGTAGCATGTTTGATCTTAGGTGTCTAGACCTAGAATAGCTGTATGTATAGCTTTTAATTAAAAAGTTAAATAGATACTACTTGTCTTGTTTATGGCAAATCTGCTCTTCACCATAAACAAGCACATCATGAATATTTAAGACTTTTCACAATCAATTTGCAACTAACCTGCTCTTAAACTTCCCCTAATTCTCCATATAGTTACCCAAAAACAGGTTACTGTATCCCAACACAACAAACGTAATTACGTCCTGCATACATTAACATAGTAAGGAGTCCTATTGGTGTGTAAAGTGGACTTATCACTGGCCTATCCAAGAATGAACTGTATGTGTTTCAATGTCTTCAATACATATGCATCTATATACAGTGAGGAACAGAAGTATTTGAACACCCTGCGATTTTGCAAGTTCTCCCACTTAGAAATCATGGAGGGGTCTGAAATTCACATTGTAGGTGCATTCCCATCTGAGAGACAGAGTTTAAAAAAAAAATTCAGGAAATCACATTGTATGATTTAAAGAATTTATTTGTCTTGCACTGCTGAACATAAGTATTTGAACACCTAAGAAACAGCAAGAATTCTGGCTCTCAAAGACCTGTTACTGTGCCTTTAAAAAGTCCACCTCTACTCCACTCATTAATCTAACTTAGTAGCACCTGTCTGAGCTCTTTAAGGACACTTGTCCACCCCACAGTCAGTCAGACGCCAACTACTACCATGGGCAAGACTAAAGAGCTGTCAAAAGACACCAGAGACAAAATTGTGGACCTCCACAAGGCTGGAAAGGGCTACGGGGCAATTGCCAAGCAGCTTGGTGAAAATAGAACAACTGTTGGAGCAATTGTTAGAAAATGGAAGAGGCTAAAGACGACTGTCAGTCTCCCTCGGACTGGGGCTCCATGCAAGATCTCACCTCGTGGGGTATCACTGATGATATGAAAGGTGAGGAATCAGCCCAGACTACAAGGGAGGAGCTGGTCAATGACATGAAGAGAGCGTTGACTACAGTTTCAAAGGTCACTGTCGGTAGAACACTACGCCGTCATGGTTTCAAATCATGCATTGCACGGAAGGTTCCCCTGCTCAAGTCATCACATGTCCAGGCCCATCTGAAGTTTGCCAATGACCATCTGGATGATCCAGAGGAGGCATGGGAGAAAGTCATGTGGTCAGATGAGACCAAAGTAGAACTTTTTGGTCTAAACTTCACTCGTCGTGTTTGGAGGAAAAAGAAGGATGAGTTGCATCCCAAGAACACCATCCCTACTGTGATGCATGCGGGTGGTAACATCATGCTTTGGGGGTGCTTTTCTGCGAAGGGGACAAGACGACTGCACTGTATTAAGGAGAGGATGAATGGGGCCATTTATTGTGAGATTTTGAGCAACAACCTCCTTCCCTCAGTCAGAGCATTGAAGATGGGTCATGGCTGGGTCTTCCAACATGACAACGACCCGAAGCACACAGCCAGGAGAACCAAGGAGTGGCTCCGTAAGAAGCATATCAAGGTTCTGGAGTGGCCTAGCCAGTCTCCAGACCTAAATCCAATAGAACATCTTTGGAGGGAGCTGAAACTCCGTGTTGCTCAGCGACAGCCCAGAAACCTGACAGATCTAGAGGAGATCTGTGTGGAGGAGTGGGCCAAAATCCCTGTTGCAGTGCAAACCTGGTCAAGAACTACAGGAAACGTCTGACCTCTGTAATTGCAAACAAAGGCTTCTGTACCAAATATTAACACTGATTTTCTCAGGTGTTCAAATACTTATGTTCAGCAGTGCAAGACAAATACATTCTTTACAAATCATACAATGTGATTTCCTGAATTTTTTTTTAAATTCTGTCTCTCAGAGTGGGAATGCACCTACAATGTGAATGTCAGACCCCTCCATGATTTCTAAGTGGGAGAACTTGCAAAATCGCAGGGTGTTCAAATACTTCTGTTCCTCATTGTAAATATATATATATATATATATATATATATATATACACAGGGGCGGACTGACCATTTGGAAACTCAGGCACTGCCCGAGGGCCCAGGGTCAGTAGGGGGCCCCATGAGATGTCCCTGGTACCTTTTTCATAGGCTTTTTTGAGTTTGGGCAAGGACACAGGGGCCCTATGATCCCCTATTGCCCGGGGGCCCCATGAGTTCTCAGTCTGCCCCTGTATATACACACATACATATACACACACATATATATATATATCCATATATTACACTCAATATACTACACACGCATACTCATGATTATGAGTTTGCTGAAAGTCGGGCTTAAGGTAAGTATTTTTTTACTATTTACCTCCGAAAAAGTGGTAGGGTCCTGCCTAACACAGAGTACTTTGCCTTTTTTATGCTAGGTCCGCGCTAAGTATTTTCCCCAACTATATACTCTATTGTTCTCACTGTTCATTGATGGACACAGCAGACCTTTGTGCCTTTTACAGGAGGGTGAACATAATAAGCTAGACCAGTATTTCTCAACCTTTTCAACACAGAGGAACCATTGAAATGACTTTTTGGTCTTGAGGAACCCCTACTGTATCTACAGCTCATGATACATTAGTGTGATGGTCAGAGGGAAGAATGTTCCTTACACTTGTAGTCATTGAGAAGAATTACCCCCTTATAGATAGCTAAAAAGATCAATGGTGTCAGTGGGAACCTATCTGAGAGGCAGATATTGCTTGTTGCTCAAGGAACCCCTAGCAACCTCTGGAGGAACCCTGGTTGAGCTAGACACTGCTGGATTTCTTCCACTTAGGAAGATGGGTACTCTTGCCACCAGTAACAGGAGGAATGTTACAGGATATGATGAGGGCTGGTAGCTGTTTCGACACAACCATCTATTTATAGGGCTAATTTGTTAAAAAACTGAATTAACCACTTCCCGTCCGGCTTCGGCTGTTGTATATAAACGGCCGGACGGTGGCAGTGCAGGGTCGGGTGGCCATTTATAAACGGCCTCCCCGCCCCCTGCATGTGCGCGCTCCCTGGGACGTGCAGCGCCGCAGTCCGGTGCCCGCTTTGTCCTCTGGACACAGTGGAACACCGATCGTTGTACGGGACCTCTGTGCGAGGTCCCGATCATGTGATCAGTGATTGGCCAATCAGTGATCACATGCAGAGTAGTAAGCAAGATGTCACTTCTGACATCATTGCTTACTACGTGTGAAATCTGTGAATGATCACAGAGGTCACATGGTACAAGGCTATTCACAACAGCCTTGTACCATGTGACAAGCTGTGATCAATCACAGTTCACACAGTAGTTCTCAATGGCTGCAGGAATGCAGCCAGAGAGGAGAAATTAATTGCTTTTACAGCCTATATGGGTGTATAAGCAATATCGGTGTAAAAAAAAAAAAAAAAAAAGCAAAAAATAAATTCATACACCATGGTGACGCTGTACTGCTAGTGTAACAGTATGTAAAAACAAAAAAAAACCCCATAAATAATAATAAAAAAATAAAATAAAAATGTAAAAAAAATGTTTAAAAATTATAATTTTTATATTTAATGTTATAAAACTAAAATTTGGGTTTTTTTTTTTTTATAAAAATGTAATAAAAGTAAAATTTAGTACACTTTTTTTCAAAAATTTGGAATAATTTTATGGCCAAGATTGTAAATGATGTGTAAATATTATTTATTTGCAAAATGTTATAAAAAAACACTTTTTTTCAAAATCTTTTTGGACTTTTTCATTTACAACATTAGCAAAAAAAAAAAATCCCAAATGAGTGAATAAAGCTAATAATACCACCAAAATAAAGCTTTATCTGTCTCAAAAAAATTGCTAAAAAGTTCATATGGGTACAGTGTTGCATGACCGCGCAATTGTCATTCAAAGTGTGATAGCGCTGAAGCTGAAAATTGGCCTGGGCAGGAAGGGGGGTAAAAGTACCCGGACTTAAAGTGGTTAAAGTAAATTGTGATGTTGACCATTGCAAACATCTATATGCCACTAGGTATCCCCACATACTACCCAACTACTGATTGAAATCAGTAGATTTACTTTAAAAAAAAACAAAACGTACTGTTCCCTGCATCATTGGGGACCATCTTGCCAAGAGAAAAGAAGAGAACTTTACACATCACCGGACTGGCCTGAAGGTGAATGAATACAATAAATATGATCCTGCCTGGGGGACCTAAAGGTAAGAGGAGGTGGACAGGGGTGGAAGTGTGAAGCCTGGAGGTGGGCTTTATGGTAAATACTGAAATAACTCAACATACCGTATGTGCTGACTGAAAATACATAGGATTGTACACCCCACCATTACACAACAAACCTAACTACTTGTAATAAAATACATCAACACAAAGACGAGATTGTGGGCTAATCTTTGGGCTGCTGCCCCTTTACTGGGTTTCAAATATTTTATTAACTATGAATTACCCATATATCCTTTATTCACAATTCAAACCAATATGAACCAAAAAAGTCCAGCCAGCTGTAGGATTCAATCATAATCCTGAAACGTACCAGGATTACAATCTACCAGCTACTGTCCACCCACAAAGTGGGCAACATTTCCCCATAAAGATAACCATGACAGATGAGAAAGAAAGAAAGAAGGAAAGTCGGAGAGGAAAGACAAGCTGAATGGTTCCAAAAAAGCATTGCAGCCGCAACATATCTATAACCCCATCTGGCTGAATTTGCAGCTTAAAGTGTTACTAAACCTAGGAACCTGCACTCACTATATCTGGTCTCCCCCGGACCCTGCATTCACTATATCTGGTCTCCCCGGACCCTGCATTCACTATATCTGGTCTCCCCGGACCCTGCATTCACTATATCTGGTCTCCCCGGACCCTGCATTCACTATATCTGGTCTCCCAGGACCCTGCACTCACTATATCTGGTCTCCCCGGGACCCTGCACTCACTATATCTGGTCTCCCCGGACCCTGCACTCACTATATCTGGTCCCCCGGACCCTGCACTCACTATATCTGGTCTCCCCGGACCCTGCACTCACTATATCTGGTCCCCCCGGACCCTGCACTCACTATATCTGGTCTCCCCGGACCCTGCACTCACTATATCTGGTGCCCCCGGGACCCTGCACTCACTATATCTGATCTCCCCGGACCCTGCATTCACTATATCTGGTCTCCCCGGACCCTGCACTCACTATATCTGGTCTCCCCAGACCCTGCACTCACTATATCTGGTCTCCCCGGACCCTGCATTCACTATATCTGGTCTCCCCGGACCCTGCATTCACTATATCTGGTCTCCCCGGACCCTGCACTCACTATATCTGGTCTCCCCGGACCCTGAACTCACTATATCTGGTCTCCCCGGACCCTGTACTCACTATATCCGGTCTCCCCGGACCCCGCATTCACTATATCCGGTCTCTCCCCCGGACCCTGCATTCACTCTATCCGGTCTCCCCGGACCCCGCATTCACTATATCCTGTCTCCCCGGACCCCGCATTCACTATATCCGGTCTCCCCGGACCCCGCATTCACTATATCTGCTCTCCCAGGACCCTGCATTCACTATACCCGGTCTCCCTGGACCCTGCACTCGCTATATCCGGTCTCCCCGGACCCTGCATTCACTATATCCGGTCTCCCCGGACCCTGCATTCACTATATCCGGTCTCCCCGGACCCTGCATTCACTATATCTGCTCTCCCCGGACCCTGCATTCACTATATCCGGTCTCCCCAGACCCTGCATTCACTATATCCGGTCTCCCCGGACTCTGCATTCACTATATCTGGTCTCCCCGGACCCTGCATTCACTATATCCAGTCTCCCCGGACCAGGGGCAGACTGACAACTCAGTGCCTTGAAAAAGTATTCATACCCCTTGCAATTTTCCACATTTTGTCATGTTACAACCAAAAACGTAAATGTATTTTATTTGGGATTTTTATGTGATAGACCAACACAAAGTAATTCTGAAATTCTGAAGGGCCCTCTGCACACTGGTATATACCCTTTCCAGCAGACTTTTCAATACAGAATAGGGATATTTGGTTCACACATATTGCAATCCATGTTTAACCTGGCCAACTGCGTCAAAGTAATCCCTCTCTGGCCAGTCCCTACTCTGCTCTGCCTACGCAAATGCTACTGTGGACACAATGCCAATATAGGGGAAAAGACAAAGTGGGGGAGAGTTATCAGGTTTAGGTCTGGCTACTGACCCATACTACAATACAATTTTAGACCAACACAAAGTGGCACATAATTGTGAAGTGGAAGGAAAATGATAAATGGTTTTCAAAATTTTTTACAAATAAATATCTGAAAAGTGTGGCATGCATTTTTACTCAGCTCCCTTTACTCTGATACCCCTAACTGAAATCTAGTGGAACCAATTGCCTTCAGAAGTCACCTAATTAGTAAACAGATTCCACCTGTGTGTAATGTAATCTCAGTATAAATACAACTGTTCTGTGAAGCCCACAGAGGTTTGTTAGAGAACATTAGTGAAAAAAACAGCATCATGAAGGCCAAGGAACACAGGTCAGGGATAAAGTTGTGGAGAAGTTTATGGCAGGGTTAGGTTATCAAAAAACATCCCAAGCTTTGAACATCTCACAGAGCACTGTTAAATCCATCATCCAAAAATGTAAAGAGTATGGCACAACTGCAAACCTACCAACACATGGCCGTCCACTTAAACTGACAGGCCGCGCAAGGAGAGCATTCATCAGAGAAGCAGCCAAGAAGCACATGGGAACACTGGAGGAGCTGCAGAAATCCACAGCTCAGGTGGGAGAATCTGTCCACAGGACAACTATTAGTCCACAAATCTGGACTCAATAGAGGGGTGGCAAGAAGAAAGCCATTGTTGAAAGAAAGCCATAAGAAGTCCCATTTGCAGTTCGTGAGAAGCCATGTGGGGGACACAGCAAACATGTGGAAGAAGGTGCTATGGGCAGATGAGACCAAAATTTAACTTTTTGACCAAAAAAGTAAAATGCTGTGTGGTGGAAAACTAACACTGCACATCACCCTGAACACACCATTCCCACCGTGAAACATGGTGGTGGCAGCCTCATGTTGTGGGCATGCTTTTCTTCAGTAGGGACAGGAAAGCTGGTCAGAGTTGATGGGAAGATGGATGGAGCCAAATACAGGGCAATCGTAGAAGAAAACCTGTTAGAGTCTGCAAAAGACTTGAGACCAGGGGCGGATTGACTATTTGGAAACTCCGGCACTGCCCGAGGGCCCAGGGTCAGTAGGGGGCCCCATGAGATGCCCCTGGTGCTTTTTTCATAGGCTTTTTTGAGTTTGGGCAAGGACACAGGGGCCCATGATCCCCTATTGCCCGGGGGGCCCCATGAGTTGTCAGTCCGCCCCTGCTTGAGACCGGGGCGGAGGTTCACCTTCCAGCAGGACAACGACCCGAAACATACAGCCAGAGATACAGTGGAATGGTTTAGATCAAAGCATATTCATGTGTTAGAATGGCCCAGTCACAGTCCAGACCGAAATCCAACTGAGAATCTGTGGCAAGACTTGGAAATTGCTGTTCCCAGACGCTCTCCATCTAACCTGACAGAACGTGAGCGATTCTGCAAAGAAGAATGGCAGAAATGTCCCTCTCTAGATGTGCAAAGCTGGTAGAGACATCCCCAAAAAGACTTGCAGCTGGAATTGCAGCAAAAGGTGGTCCTACAAAGTATTGACTCCGGGGGGCTGAATACAAATGCCGCCACACTTTTCACAGATTTATTTGTAAAAAATGTTGAAAACCATTTATCATTTTCCTTCCACTTTGTGTTGGTCTATCACATAAAATCCCAATAAAATACATTAAGGTTTTTAGTTGTGACATGACAAAATGTGGAAAATATCAAGGGGTATGAATACTTTTTCAAGGCACTGTATATATCAATATGATAGTGATTTGCAAAAATTCTTTCAGGTAAGGGGATGCAAGCTCATCAGGCCAGGCATAAAGAGAATGCAAACATGCTCCTTCCATGGGCACTGGATACATTCTTATATTGTGTTCAAACTTTTCTCTATATATGGAGTGACCATTCAGCTATGACAGAGGTTTTGGTCTGCCAATCAAGGACAAAATGTCCAATGCAAATTGTCTGCCAGTATTTTCTGATAACATGCTGCATTTATCTTGCCATCAATTTTCACAAGATTCCTCGTGCCTCATACCCTCAAAACATGAGCGAGCTACCACCATGCTTCACAGTGGGGATGGTATTCTTGTCGCTATAAACCTTGTTGACCGCTCTCTAAAATTAGTGTTTATGGTCGTGACCATAAAGCTGTATTTTGATCTTGCCACTCGAGATTACAGTGTGCCAGAAGCTGTGAGGCGTGTCAAGCTTGGGATCCTATGAATAAGTCAGAATGAAGAAACATGTCAGGAAGTGATGTCAGATGACGTAGCCGGAAGTTCTGAATCGGCCATCTTGGAAGTGGTTTATCCATCTGGGAGATAGTGAGCTTTATACTTTTGCTGCTGGTTGTTTTTAGCTGCGCTAACTCTGCAATTTTAAATGTAAGCAGTTCTATTAAAGTGCCTTTAAGTTCTTTGGGGGTCTTGCACTATTGCTTTATTTTTCTCTTTGTGGTACCATCATTATTGTGTGGAACATATGAAGACAGGATCCGGGATAGCTGGTGGTCTATTCTAAGCCCTGTTTACCTGTCCTCTGGTAATATGGGAACAAGGAAGAACTGTGTATGACTACGCATATCTTTGGACAGTTCACTACATAAGAAAAATATTTTTGTGGACACTGGATGATTTTAAGTGACTTTTTGGATTTATTTAGAAGATTCATTTTTAGATCACAATTTGGGTTTTGCACACATAATTAATTTTTATTTACCGTATTTTTCGCTCCATAAGACGCACTTTTTTCCCCCCAAAAAAGGGGGGAAAATGTCAGTGCGTCCTATGGAGCGAATATGGAGCGGCTGGTCCGGTATTTCCACCGCCGCTGTGTCAGAATACCGGGCCGGCCGCTCAGCTCTGCAGCGGGACCTTATGGAGATGACTGCTGACCTTTGGGGAGGTGGGGAGCGGGTACCTGAATTTGATAGGTACCCGCTCTTACTTCCGCGGAGTTGTTCTTTGACCTTACCTGTTCCCCTATCCAGCGGCGCGCTGTGTTCCCGGCTTCTGTAATGTGGGCGCTGGACTTGACAGCCGGGTGCCCAGTGCGCATGCGCAAGAAGCGGTACTTTTTGTGAATGGTAAGGCGGTACCTGGGACACATGACAGATCCCAGAAGCCGCCCACAGTACAGAAGCCGAGAAGACAGCGCACCGCTGGATAGAGGAACAGGTAAGATCAAAGAACAACTCCGCGGAAGAGCGGATACCTGTCAAATTCAGGTACCCGCTACCCCCCTCCCCAAAGGTCAGCAGTCATCTCCTGTACTGTCCACAGTCTCTGGTCATCTCTTGTACTGTGTCCGCAGTCTCTGGTCATCTCCTGTACTGTCCGCAGTCTCTGGTCATCCCTGTACTGTCCGCAGTCTCTGGTCATCTCCTGTACTGTCCGCAGTCTCTGGTCATCTCCTGTACTGTCTGCAGTCTCTGGTCATCTCCTGTACTGTCTGCAGTCTCTGGTCATCTCCTGTACTGTCCGCAGTCGCAGTCTCTCTGGTCATCCCTGTGCTGTCCGCAGTCTCTGGTCATCCCTGTGCTGTCCGCAGTCTCTGGTCATCCCTGTCCGCAGTCTCTGGTCTGTGCTGTCCACAGTCTCTGGTCATCTCCTGTACTATGTCTGCAGTCCATTAGTTCAGAATTTTTTTTTTTCTGCCTCTAAAACCTAGGTGCGTCTTATGGTCAGGTGCGTCTTATGGAGCGAAAAATACGGTAATTTTTATTTATATAATTAATTTTTTTTTATTAATATTTATGTGGCTTATTATCACTGTTTGTACTTGCCTTTCTGGGGTGGAAGGCGTTACACG